TATAATAAAGTTATGTATGCTGCTCTGCTCTCCAATCATATTTTTATTATAAAGAACACATACTCAACTGTCTGTTTGTTGGTCTTTCGTTCAGTTTCCTAGTTCAGCAAATTTTTGTTGCTGCATGAGTAGTTGTAGTAAATTGGATAGAGATAGATCGATTCTTGAACGGTTGGTTTGGTTAATATGTGTGTCGTTGTCTATAAATGTTTAATAAATTACTAACAACAAATTATCGGGTGTTAAAGTTGAAAATAATACAAAAATATTTGAACACGTACAATTACTTGCATTAATATCTTGTTTATTCTCGCTGCTGTTGCTGCTTTTTTATTGAGTTGTGGGAATTTCTTTTAATTTGTATGACAAATATTTATTGGGCAAAATGTTGTAGTTTTTTCCGTAGGTCTACAAATTAACTCGAACTATTATTTATATAAGTTATTGACAAGGTTTTCTTTACAGTTTTCTGAAAAGTAAATCAATTTGTTTTTATGGAAAATAATAGAATTGAAAAAATATTGGAAATAACTTTAAAGAGTTAATGTTGATGTGTTAAGAGATTTTGACATCTAAGAAAGTGTCAAATGAATCATTTTTGTCTATTGGGTATTTTATTTAGAAGAATTGTGTTTTACTTCTAACACTATTGATATCTGAAATTGTATATTATTAAGGAAACATTCCGTCAAGATAATATGTTGTGTTCGTTCGTCTGGGACAGATGTTGGTTATATCGAATGTTGGTTCGTTAGTCTGGGACAGATGTTGGTTACATCGGAAAGAAGGATTTCGTCCAAGAAAGATTATTGAAGAAGATTGTTCTAGTTCAGTTCTAGTTCAGTTCTAGTTCAGTTCTAGTTCAGTTCAGTTAGTTCAGTTCTAGTTCATAGTTCAGTTCTAGTTCAGTTCTAGTTCAGTTCTAGTTCAGTTCTAGTTCAGTTCTAGTTCAGTTCTAGTTCAGTTCTAGTTCAGTTCTAGTTCAGTTCTAGTTCAGTTCTAGTTCAGTTCTAGTTCAGTTCTAGTTCAGTTCTAGTTCAGTTCTAGTTCAGTTCTAGTTCAGTTCTAGTTCAGTTCTAGTTCAGTTCTAGTTCAGTTCTAGTTCAGTTCTAGTTCAGTTCTAGTTCAGTTCTAGTTCAGTTCTAGTTCAGTTCTAGTTCAGTTCTAGTTCAGTTCTAGTTCAGTTCTAGTTCAGTTCTAGTTCAGTTCTAGTTCAGTTCTAGTTCAGTTCTAGTCAGTTCTAGTTCAGTTCTAGTTCAGTTCTAGTTCAGTTCTAGTTCAGTTCTAGTTCAGTTCTAGTTCAGTTCTAGTTCAGTTCTAGTTCAGTTCTAGTCAGTTCTAGTTCAGTTCTAGTTCAGTTCTAGTTCAGTTCTAGTTCAGTTCTAGTTCAGTTCTAGTTCAGTTCTAGTTCAGTTCTAGTTCAGTTCTAGTTCAGTTCTAGTTCAGTTCTAGTTCAGTTCTAGTTCAGTTCTAGTTCAGTTCTAGTTCAGTTTCTAGTTCAGTTAGTTCTAGTTCAGTTCTAGTTCAGTTCTAGTTCAGTTCTAGTTCAGTTCTAGTTCAGTTCTAGTTTCAGTTCTAGTTCAGTTCTAGTTCAGTTCTAGTTCAGTTCTAGTTCAGTTCTAGTTCAGTTCTAGTTCAGTTCTAGTTCAGTTCTAGTCAGTTTCTAGTTCAGTTCTAGTTCAGTTCTAGTTCAGTTCTAGTTCAGTTCTAGTTCAGTTCTAGTTCAGTTCTAGTTCAGTTCTAGTTCAGTTCTAGTTCAGTTCTAGTTCAGTTCTAGTTCAGTTCTAGTTCAGTTCTAGTTCAGTTCTAGTTCAGTTCTAGTTCAGTTCTAGTTCAGTTCTAGTTTCAGTTCTAGTTCAGTTCTAGTTCAGTTCTAGTTCAGTCTAGTTCAGTTCTAGTTCAGTTCTAGTTCAGTTCTAGTTCAGTTCTAGTTCAGTTCTAGTTCTAGTTCAGTTCTAGTTTAGTTCTAGTTCAGTTCTAGTTTAGTTCTAGTTCAGTTCTAGTTTAGTTCTAGTTCAGTTTCTAGTTCAGTTCTAGTTCAGTTCTAGTTCAGTTCTAGTTCAGTTCTAGTTCAGTTCTAGTTCAGTTCTAGTTCAGTTCTAGTTCAGTTCTAGTTCAGTTCTAGTTCAGTTCTAGTTCAGTTCTAGTTCAGTTCTAGTTCAGTTCTAGTTCAGTTCTAGTTCAGTTCTAGTTCAGTTCTAGTTCAGTTCTAGTTCAGTTCTAGTTCAGTTCTAGTTCAGTTCTAGTTCAGTTCTAGTTCAGTTCTAGTTCAGTTCTAGTTCAGTTCTAGTTCAGTTCTAGTTCAGTTCTAGTTCAGTTCTAGTTCAGTTCTAGTTCAGTTCTAGTTCAGTTCTAGTTCAGTTCTAGTTCAGTTCTAGTTCAGTTCTAGTTCAGTTCAGTTCTAGTTCAGTTCTAGTTCAGTTCTAGTTCAGTTCTAGTTCAGTTCTAGTTCAGTTCTAGTTCAGTTCTAGTTCAGTTCTAGTTCAGTTCTAGTTCAGTTCTAGTTCAGTTCTAGTTCAGTTCTAGTTCAGTTCTAGTTCAGTTCTAGTTCAGTTCTAGTTCAGTTCTAGTTCAGTTCTAGTTCTAGTTCTTCTAGTTCAGTTCGTTCAGCTCTAGTTCAGTTCTAGTTCAGTTCTAGTTCAGTTCTAGTTCAGTTCTAGTTCAGTTCTAGTTCAGTTCTAGTTCAGTTCTAGTTCAGTTCTTGTTCAGTTCTAGTTCAGTTCTAGTTCAGTTCTAGTTCAGTTCTAGTTCAGTTCTAGTTCAGTTCTAGTTCAGTTCTAGTTCAGTTCTAGTTCAGTTCTAGTTCAGTTCTAGTTCAGTTCTAGTTCAGTTCTAGTTCAGTTCTAGTTCAGTTCTAGTTCAGTTCTAGTTCAGTTCTAGTTCAGTTCTAGTTCAGTTCTAGTTCAGTTCTAGTTCAGTTCTAAGACAAGGTTTAAAATGTTGATAAGATTACCCTTATACAATCAGTGAGTAATTTTTTACCTTTTTTGTATTCAACTCTCTCTGTTACGCTTTTTACACGGAGAACAGTTTAAATACCAGTAAACATTTTCCGTATTTTCTGCTTAATTATTACTGCTATTTAGTCACTTAACTTGGTTTCTACTCACATGTGTGGAATCTGGTTATTTATGACCACCGTGAAACATTTCTTGAAATATTTTTGTCATTTTTTTTTTGTGATTTTGTTTATTTTTTTGCTTTTGTTGGCATATTTTTGAAAACACTCCTTGTAAACATTTTGATTATTGTGTGTGTGTGTGTTTGTCTTTAACTAAAAAGCAGAAAATCTTCTTAAAAAATTGCTGTTGTGCTCTTCTGTGTAACAACAAAAAATAAATGACAAACCATTAACAAACGAAAAAATACAAAGTGGACAAAAAAATAAACTTTTTTTGTGCGAGATAATATTGTTGTTTTAGTTAATAAATGTTAAAAATATCTACAAGTTGAAAGAAAAACAAAAACTTATAAATAAAAGTTACACCCAACAATAACTACAACAATAAAGATTAACTTCTGAACATCATTAAATAATAATAAAACAAAATAAAAAAAAAGGAAGACAAAAGACAATAACAACAAAATGCTAAACAATGACCCACCTCAAAATGAGGCAACAGCAGCAGGAACAACAGCAGCTAAAATCACAACAACAGCAACAACAACATTATTATTTAAAGTATCATTATCATCAAATGAATATTTTGATGTCAACTGTTGTAAAAATGATCAATGTCCAGGTACAATAACAACAAAAAACCAACAGCAGCAACAACTTTAATAACTTTTTAAAAGTTTTGAGTGAATAATCCAGCAAACAGACAACAACAACTACAACAAACCCCAACTACAACATCATCGTCATCCTACCGGTGAGGGAGCTAGTTGACTTTGACTGTCTTACAAACTACTACAACAACATTCTATGTGATTTATTAAATAAAATAACAACAGCAACAACTAAAAGCCGGCATTTTTTTTCTTTCTTTAACTTGAAAAAAGAGACATTTTGCACAAAAAAGAGCGAAACTTTTTAACTCAAAGAGTTAAATTTCTTTATTTTTGCATTGATTTGTATGCTTTCCTTCATATTTTCCTATTGGTGTGTGATCTTGTTTACATGTATCAATAAAAAGAGAGCAAGGTGAGCTAAAAGTGTTTGTCGCGAGTGTTTGTGTGTGTATGTATAAGTTTGTTGCGGTTATAAAATGAAACTTTATTGCGAGTATTTGTTGTTTCTTCCTGCTCATTTGTTGTTAAAACCTCAAACCTAACAGACGCTGGTTTTTTGTTGTTCGTGTTTTGTTTCTATATTCGTATTTTTGTTTTCCTCGTTTATTCGTTCATTCATCTGTATGCTTTGTTGGCTCAATCTGGCTTAATCTTGTTTAATAAAACCACAACATTTAAAACGTTAAAGAAAAAAGAGTTAAATTACTAAAAAAATTTAAAATTTTTATAAAAAAATAAGAGGAAAATTATAAATAAATAACAGCAATTTAACAATTACACTAAACCAGTAAAACTTATACCAACATAAAAAATATTTAAAAATAAATTTTCACCGGAAAACCTATAAATTCAATAAGTTTTAATAAAATAATTATAAAAATTAAAACTTTATAATACTTTTCACATTAAAGTAAAGGCAAAATACAAACTTTAAACTTAAAAATTATAAAACAGCATGAAAATTTAAACAATTTTGTAAATAATAACAAAAAAATAAAATAGTAATATATAAAAAAATTGTTAAATAAGTTAAACAAAAAAAAAATATATATAAAATAAATGTTGTTATTTTTATAACACAAATATATTTAAATAATTGTCTAAAGTAGTGCAAAAGTTTAAATTTAACAAAAAATTTAAGTCAAATTATTTTGTGTTGAAAAAACTTAAAAATCGCAAAAAAATCTTTTTAATCTTTGAAAAATAAAAATAAAATATTTTTATAAAAATTTGCTGAAATCTTAAAAATTAAACAAAAAAAGTTTTCCTTAAAATTGTTTGTTAAAAAGTTACCACCATTATCCAATAAACAAGCACTTCAAATAAGTTTAATGAAGATCAATTATTAAATAATATAATATTAGTGTAAAAAAGCTTTAATTTAAAACAAAAAATAAAATAATATAAAATACATAAAAAACATAAATATTTAAAAAAATAATTTTAATAAAATACAACTAGAAGATCAATCAAAATTCGTTAAGAAAAGTAAGAAACTTTAAAACTATTAAACTCTCTACCATGGATGCGTCAATAGGCGGTAAAAAATTGGTTGCAGTGCAGTTCTAGTTCAGTTCTGGTTCAGTTCTAGTTCAGTTCTAGTTCAGTTCTAGTTCAGTTCTAGTTCAGTTCTAGTTCAGTTCTAGTTCAGTTCTAGTTCAGTTCTAGTTCAGTTCTAGTTCAGTTCTAGTTCAGTTCTAGTTCAGTTCTAGTTAGTTCTAGTTCAGTTCTAGTTCAGTTCTAGTTCAGTTCTAGTTCAAGTTCTAGTTCAAGTTCTAGTTCAGTTCTAGTTCAGTTCTAGTTCAGTTCTAGTTCAGTTCTAGTTCAGTTCTAGTTCAGTTCTAGTTCAGTTCTAGTTCAGTTCTAGTTCAGTTCTAGTTCTAGTTCAGTTCTAGTTCAGTTCTAGTTCAGTTCTAGTTCAGTTCTAGTTCAGTTCTAGTTCAGTTCTAGTTCAGTTCTAGTTCAGTTCTAGTTCAGTTCTAGTTCAGTTCTAGTTCAGTTCTAGTTCAGTTCTAGTTCAGTTCTAGTTCAGTTCTAGTTCAGTTCTAGTTCAGTTCTAGTTCAGTTCTAGTTCAGTTCTAGTTCAGTTCTAGTTCAGTTCTAGTTCAGTTCTAGTTCAGTTCTAGTTCAGTTCTAGTTCAGTTCTAGTTCAGTTCTAGTTCAGTTCTAGTTCAGTTCTAGTTCAGTTCTAGTTCAGTTCTAGTTCAGTTCTAGTTCAGTTCCAGTTCAGTTCTAGTTCAGTTCTAGTTCAGTTCTAGTTCAGTTCTAGTTCAGTTCGAGTTCAGTTCTAGTTCAAGTTCTAGTTCAGTTCTAGTTCAGTTCTAGTTCAGTTCTAGTTCAATTCTAGTTCAATTCTAGTTCAGTTCTAGTTCAGTTCTAGTTCAGTTCTAGTTCAGTTCAGGTTCTAGTAGTCTAGTTCAGTTTCTCGTTCAGTTCTAGTGCAGTTCTAGTTCAGTTCTAGTTCAATTCTAGTTTCAGTTCTGTTCAGTTCATTCAGTTCAGTTCTAGTTCAGTTCTAGTTCAGTTCTAGTTCAGTTCTAGTTCAGTTCTAGTTCAGTTCTGGTTCAGTTTCTAGTTCTAGTTCAGTTCTAGTTCAGTTCTAGTTCAGTTCTAGTTCAGTTCTAGTTCAGTTCTAGTTAGTTCTAGTTCAGTTCTAGTTCAGTTCTAGTTCAGTTCTAGTTCAGTTCTATTCAGTTCTAGTTCAGTTCTAGTTCAGTTCTAGTTCAGTTCTAGTTCAGTTCTAGTTCAGTTCTAGTTCAGTTCTAATTCAGTTCTAGTTCAGTTCTAGTTCAGTTCTAGTTCAATTCTAGTTCAGTTCTGGTTCAGTTTAGTTCAGTTGTTTAGTTTAGTTCTAGTTGATGAGATCAGTCTCATCTTTTAATAGAGTCGATCAGTATCAAATCTATATAAATATGATCAGTCTTAACCCCATATAGAAGCGATCAGTTTTAACTCTTTTTCTATATAGAATCGTTTTGTCGTCGATATACATAGATATGATCAAACATAATTCCATATGGTGGATTAGTCTTAACTCTATAAGAGTTTATGAGTCTCAATTCTATAGGTACTTGATCAATATTAAGTCTATATAAAGTCGGTCAATATCTTCTCTATATCATATTATTAAGTGTGAACAATTAATAGAATAGTAGATCATTTTATATCCAGTTGGTCAGTATCAACTCTACGTAGGACTTCATTTCGACCGTCATCAACTAATTGTCAAAACAAATGAATGACGCTTTTATAATTAGTAAGATTCCCTTCAGGAGAACAAAAGATCATCATGAAATCTGTGTTTATGTATATCATCAGAATCGTTTGGCTAGTTAAAGAGAAACTTGTTTGAACCGTCCTTTTAGCTTCGTTCGTTTGATCTTTATTCTATATTGACCAATATATGTTCAATAAATCACCCAATTTATTGTAGAATCTGTGAGGTGTCCAGCACTTGGCCGGTATAGGAACTGCATGGGCTAGGTTGGCTGCTACTGTGAACAAGGAAATTTATATTCAAACAGCTATTATAGTAAATTTGTATCGTCCTATCATTAAAGGCCTTGAATCAAAAGTGTTTAAAAACTGCCTTCTTTATTCCGCCTCCGCAATATAAAAATAATATCAATACAAATTGACTTTCACTTTTAATTTGGCAATAAATTCCTTAGGTCTAATAATCTCTTAACTTTCAGATTTTATCAGTAGATCACATCTTCTTTTTTATAAAAGAAAATCAATATTTCTCTTATGACATTTAAATTTATTTCTTTATCACATTGTCAACACACTTTGGAAATTACATTAAATATATATTGTCTTATAAATGACCATAAAATAACAATAACAAATAATGTTGGTTTTATACTGATCATTAATTCTTTTGTTCAAAACAAAAAAAAAAAAAAAATGTTTGTGTGTAGGCTAAACATAGGCAAAATAATTAATAAGAACTGAGACAAATATAGATCTTAAGCTGAAATTATAAAAGCATTTGATGTGATCAATTTAAATTTATTTGTTATATGAGTAGAGTTATTAATCATTTATTGTCAAATCATTAATAATAATAGTAAAACAATAGTTTTAAATAAAATATTTTGAAACTATTTTTGTTATACTATAGTTTTATTATAGTTAAGTGGACAAATGAGACATCTGATTAATGCGATTTTTTGGGGCTTTTTATAGAGCCTACAATTTTTTGTTTGCGGGAAAATATTAGTAAAACTTGCTTAATTTTAAAATAGATTAATCTATTGTCTGATCTATAATACAGAATATAAACTAATCAATAGTCCATAATATAGACTGATCTACAGTCCAACCTATAGACTGATCCACACTACAGACTGTTGTAGTGTCATATCCACACTATAGACTAATCAATAGTCCAAACTATAGACTGATCTATGGTTTTGAATATAGACCAGAATAAATACTGATCCATAGTCCAGAATATAGACTGATCTAGAGAGTGATTTATATTGTAGACTACAGACTGTTTCATAGTACATATTATAAACTGATTTATAGTCCAGACTATAAAATGATATATAGTTCAGGCTATAGACCGATCTACAATCCAGAATATAGTCTGATCCACACTATAGATTGATCTATAGTCCAAACTAAAGATTAATATATAGTCAAAACTATAGACTGATCTACCAGACTGATCTGACCAGACTGTAGACTGCTCGATAGACTATAGACTTTTTCGTTAAGACTATAGACTGATCTATAGTCCAGACTATAGACTGATTTATAGTCCAGACTATATACTGATTTATAGTCCAGACTATAGACTGATCTATAGTCCAGACTATAGACTGACATATAGTCAAGACTTTAGACTGATCTATAGTCCATACTATAGACTGATCTATAGTCCAGACTATAGACTGATCTATAGTCCAGACTATAGACTGATCTATAGTCCAGACTATAGACTGATCTATAGTCCAGACTATAGACTGATCTATAGTCCAGACTATAGACTGATCTATAGTCCAGACTATAGACTGATCTATAGTCCAGACTATAGACTGATTTATAGTCCAGACTATAGACTGATCTATAGTCCAGACTATAGACTGATCTATAGTCCAGACTATAGACTGATCTATAGTCCAGACTATAGACTGATATATAGTCAAGACTATAGACTGATCTATAGTCCAGATTATAGACTAATCTATAGTCCAGACTATAGATTAATCTATAGTCCAGACTACAGACTGATCTATAGTCCAGTTCCTATTAAGACCAAAACAACAATGAAGTGAACTTTGATCCAGATTAGACGTAGACTTAACACTTTTTAATTAAACTTACCAAGTTTGACATAATAAGTATCTAGAGAGAATTAAAATCATTCGGACAACCCTCCTATATCAATAAAACTGTCAATATTTTACTTGTCACTTAATATTCAATTCTTTTCCACTGTACACACGTAATTTAAACTTCCGCCTAAAATTTGATTCATTGATTCACTATAATCTCCTACATCAAGAAAAAAAATGTTCATTAAACAATTTAAAACCGGGATTATAGAGAGATAAAAACGTAAACTGAATTAATGAGTTGAAAAAAAACAACAATAATAAAGGGTTAAATGAAGAAAATGCTAAAAACAGATTCAATTTTAATTCAAACATACATGGTACAGAGTTTAACAGAAAAAATTTATACAAAAATAAAATTTTAAATAACAACAAAAATTAAGCCTTTGTTTTTAAAATTTGCAGAAAAAAATACAAATAAAATTAACCAAGAAAAAGAAAAAAAAAAAAAATTAAAACAAATTATGTTAATAAATATTGTGCCTTAACAAAAAAAATAAAAACCTAAAATAAGCTTTTGCGTGAGTGTTTTTTGATCATAACAATTTGTCGTCATATCAAACAACGTCGTCGTCACCAAAACGTCCATAAATACAACAACAACGTCTTCTCATTTGTTCCTATAATACAAACACACACATAATCAAAAAACACAACCACAACGACGACGACAAACGAGAGGATACGGTTGCGCCAAACAATGTGCACAAAAAAATGTTTTCGCATGCCAACGTTAGTCATATTCGGTGTCATTCTCACAATCGTCTTAGTCTTCATTACCGGCATCACATTAACAAACAGTATTAATATTTCAAATATTGTTAAGCTGCGCGAAAAAGTTGCCAGTGATTCAGCGGCGGCCAATAGTGTCAATGCAGCACAAACGAGAGCAGCTTTGGTGGAGCAACAGTATTCGACATTGCAACAGCATCATTTGTCACGAAGTGATTTAAATTATATAACAGCTAATCATCCAAAAAATTTACAACGTTTCCTGCAAACGTCTCAAACTCAACAACAACAACCACAACAGCCATCAGCACAGCCGCCGCCCCTGCAACATTTGCCACCACCAGCTTCTCAACCAGCAGTTGGTGCGGCGGCAAACAGCAACAACAATAATAACAATAATAAAATAATAATTGAAATTGGCATACGTAATTTTACTGCAGCAGCTGCTGCCGCCGCTGTGGCAGCACATCGAGAACAGCAACAACAATTGCTACAAACAAATAATCGTTCCTTGTCTTCAGCATCAGCATCATCGTCATCGTCAGCCTTGTCTTCCTTTGATAGTAATCAAACATTAGTGGAAAGAAATGTGGTTAGTGCGGCTGGTGCAGCCACAATTGTTGAACAGTTAGTGGCGCCTTTTGATGGCGCCATTATTGATGGTAATATAGAATCCATATCAGTGCCAGCCACTTCGGAAATTCGACAACAATTAAATGAAACTTTGAAATATTTAGCCGAAAATGACAAAACGGTGACATCTCTTGAAAGTAAAAATTCCTTAATGTTAAATCGATTACCTCCGCTGAACAGTAGTATCACAACTACGACCACTTTGAAACCATTAAATTCCAGCTCAAATGCAACAGTAACTTCAACTCCATTGCCAACATCATCAAATTTAACATTAAATGCTACGGCAACTTCATCATCATTAGTGGCAACTACTAAAAGCTTTTTAAATAATTCTTTAAATTCTTCAACAACATCATCAAATGCTGCCGTATCCACTTTGTCATCGACAACAACAGCAGTTCCAGCATTACCTGCTGCTTCTGCTTCAACAGCGACAAGTACCCTAACAGTAACTACAACAATAACTCCTGCATTAACGGCTGCTTTAACTACAGCAGCAAATCAATTAAGCATTGAAGATCATAATCCCGGCATGATTGATTTCGAAAAACGTAATTATGTTAAAGAGGTAAAAATAATATTTTTTTTGGTTGCTTTTTCCCTTCTTTCCTCTTTGGGTGTACTTTTCCTGTGCTTTTAGCTTTATTCGCTTCAAATGTGAAAGCAATTTACATGCTTTCAATTTATTTAAGCATTTTAAAATGAATATAATTGATTTTTTTTGTAATACAGAATTGAAGTAATGTGACCAACTAATATAAACCTTTATTGATAATGATCTACGACCCGATGTGGATCTTTAGTTCAAAGTAGCATGTCAAGTTCAGATTATACTATAGTTCAGACTATAAACTAATCTATAGTCAAGAATATAGACTGATTTATAGTCCAAACTATAGATTGATCTATAGTCAATACTAAAGACTGATCTATAGTATAGACTATTGACTGACTTATATTCCAAACTACAGACTATACACTGATCTATAGTCCAGACTATAGTGCAGACTATAGACTGTTCTATAGATCAGATTAAAGACTGCTTTGTAGTGCAGACTAAAGAGTGATCTATAGTCCAGCATATAGAGTGATCTATAGTCCAGCATATAGAGTGATCTATAGTCCAGCATATAGAGTGATTTATAGTCCAGCATATAGACTGACCTATAGTCCAGACTATAGACTGACCTATAGTCCAGATTATAGACTGAGCTATAGTCTAGACTATAGACTGAGATATAGTCCAGACTATAGACTGAGCTATAGTCCAGACTATAGACTGAGCTATAGTCCAGACTATAGACTGAGCTATAGTCCAGACTATAGACTGAGCTATAGTCCAGACTATAGGCTGAGCTATAGTCCAGACTATAGACTGAGCTATAGTCCAGACTATAGACTGAGCTATAGCCCAGACTATAGACTGAGCTATAGTCCATACTATAGACTGAGCTATAGTCCAGACTATAGGCTGAGCTATAGTCCAGACTATAGACTGAGCTATAGTCCAGACTATAGACTGAGCTATAGCCCAGACTATAGACTGAGCTATAGTCCAGACTATAGACTGAGCTATAGTCCAGACTATAGACTGAGCTATAGTCCAGACTATAGACTGAGCTATAGTCCAGACTATAGACTGAGCTATAGTCCAGACTATAGACTGAGCTATAGTCCAGACTATAGACTGAGCTATAGTCCAGACTATAGACTGAGCTATAGTCCAGACTATAGACTGAGCTATAGTCCAGACTATAGACTGAGCTATAGTCCAGACTATAGACTGAGCTATAGTCCAGACTATAGACTGAGCTATAGTCCAGACTATAGACTGAGCTATAGTCCAGACTATAGACTGAGCTATAGTCCAGACTATAGACTGATCTATAGTCCAGACTATAGACTGAGCTATAGCCCAGACTATAGACTGAGCTATAGGCCAGACTATAGACTGAGCTATAGGCCAGACTATAGACTGAGCTATAGTCCAGACTATAGACTGAGCTATAGCCCAGACTATAGACTGAGCTATAGTCCAGACTATAGACTGAGCTATAGCCCAGACTATAGACTGAGCTATAGTCCAGACTATAGACTGAGCTATAGCCCAGACTATAGACTGAGCTATAGTCCAGACTATAGACTGAGCTATAGTCCAGACTATAGACTGAGCTATAGTCCAGACTATAGACTGAGCTATAGTCCAGACTATAGACTGAGCTATAGTCCAGACTATAGACTGAGCTATAGTCCAGACTATAGACTGAGCTATAGCCCAGACTATAGACTGAGCTATAGTCCAGACTATAGACTGAGCTATAGTCCAGACTATAGACTGAGCTATAGCCCAGACTATAGACTGAGCTATAGTCCAGACTATAGACTGAGCTATAGCCCAGACTATAGACTGAGCTATAGTCCAGACTATAGACTGAGCTATAGCCCAGACTATAGACTGAGCTATAGTCCAGACTATAGACTGAGCTATAGCCCAGACTATAGACTAAGCTATAGTCCAGACTATAGACTGAGCTGTAGTCCAGACTATAGACTGAGCTATATTCCAGACTATAGACTGAGCTATAGTCCAGACTATAGACTGAGCTGTAGTCCAGACTATATACTGATCTATAGTCCAGACTATAGACTGATCTATAGTCCAGACTATAGACTGAGTATTTTTGAGTCCAGACTAAAGACTGATCTATAGTCCAGACTAAAGACTGATCTATAGTCCAGACTAAAGACTGATCTATAGTCCAGACTATAGACTGATCTATAGTCCAGGCTATAGACTGGTCTATAGTCCAGGCTATAGACTGATCTATAGTCCAGGCTATAGACTGATCTATAGTCCAGGCTATAGACTGATCTATAGTCCAGACTGATCTATAGTATTGACTATAGACTGATCTACAGTCCAGACTATAGAGTGACCTAGACTCCAGACTATAGACTGATCTATACTCCAGACTATAGACTGATCTATTGTTCAGACTATAAACTAATCTATATATAAACATGGAAATTCTTTAGCACTACATACCTAGTAATGATTACATTAAATAATTTATAACTGTTAGTTGATTAATTGATTATATTAATTAATGTATAACTGTTAATTGATTTATTCAATTTATTTGCTCCAATTTAACTTTATTTTCAATGCATTATTTAAAATATTTCTTATCAATTGTAATTCATAATTCATCATACACTCTGATGGTTGATTTCTTTTGATCATAAATTACTACCCGCGTTTTTATTTACAAAATAATATAGATTAAAATATACTGAGCTCCTATGAACTGCAAATAGTAATAGTTTTTTTTTATTATAAATATTTGTTAATAATTATTATTTACCTTTTTTTCATTGCAGGTATGTTTCATATTTTATTTACACTTGAACAACAATACAAATAACAGATAAGTATTAACGTTTTTGTTGCGTTTTGAATTAAACATTAACCACCATATTCATAAATGCCTAATAAGGTTGTTGATGGTTTATTGTAGAAATTTTGTATGGAAAATGTGTGTTATAAACCTAAAATAAGCGATTTATATCTTTATGAATAAGGGGATAAAACAGTAATTGTTATATGTATGTACATATGTGAAAAAACCTTAGCATATTTTGAACCTAATGGCTCTTATTTTTGGTACCCTACGTGTATCTAATTAAAAAATGAAGACACAAAATATATAAAAGAATTTATAGGGAAAAGGAAATTTGGTGTATCAGTAATATTTTTGAGCCCAAGCTTTAGGATCGAGTTTCTCATAATAATATTCGATTTGAATTAGGATTGAAATCTGTTATAATCTAGTTCAGTTCTAGTTTAGTTCTAGTTCAGTTCTAGTTCAGTTCTAGTTCAGTTATAGTTCAGTTATAGTTCAGTTCTAGTTCAGTTCTAGTTCAGTTCTAGTTCAGTTCTAGTTCAGTTCTAGTTCAGTTCTATTTCAGTTCTAGTTCAGTTCTAGTTCAGTTCTAGTTCAGTTCTAGTTCAGTTCTAGTTCAGTTCTAGTTCAGTTCTAGTTCAGTTCTAGTTCAGTTCTAGTTCAGTTCTAGTTCAGTTCTAGTTCAGTTCTAGTTCAGTTCTAGTTCAGTTCTAGTTCAGTTCTAGTTCAGTTCTAGTTCAGTTCTAGTTCAGTTCTAGTTCAGTTCTAGTTCAGTTCTAGTTCAGTTCTAGTTCAGTTCTAGTTCAGTTCTAGTTCAGTTCTAGTTCAGTTCTAGTTCAGTTCTAGTTCAGTAAAATGCAGATGCTTATATGTTATTAATTTAAAGATGTGAGATGTAATTCTTTCTGCAGTGAGGATATTTCATGATGTACATGGAAGTGATGATCACTTAACCAATAATTATTCAACTCGCTGATGGGGAGTTGGATAATTATCTGCTGTATAATTGGGTTATTTCAAACATTGGGTTTTGAACACATTCGGCTTACGAATCTAATGATCCATGGGAAATAGAGTGAATAATTAATTAAGGTTTCATTGGGATACATTTTTGATCATGAGTCATGACTTAAAGAGTTTCTAACAATATTGAGGAGTTTTGCTTCTTCTTTTTTTTTGGTTACTTCAGCATGACATTAATGATGATGTCGATGAGTTCGGCTGACGACGGCTATGAGAAAACTTGAAAAATGATTAAATATTTTTTAAAACGTAATGAATTTTCAATTCAATCATGTGAAAATGTTAATTATCCGTATTATTTAACCATCATTAAATTCTGTTAGCATTTTTCTTTTTGTTATTTTTTTGTTGTGGTCCTACTATGTAGTATTTTTGGAAGTCAGTTAGTGTGGTTTTTGGCGGCAATGTAATGGCTGCTAGTTTCAAATTACAATTATTCTTGAGTGATACTGATGCTGCTGCGTTGTACTTAAGTTTAGCACCTTTATTTGTTGTTTTAGCTGATTAATTGCTTTGATGCTGCTTAAGCATTATTTATGTCGCCGTTACGGAGTCGTCGTCGTCGGCGTTGTAGTCGTTATCGTTGTCACAGTCCATTGTTGTTTACTGAATATTCAATAGTTGACAGTCGCTTTGAGTTGGATTGTAGGTATTTGTGTGTTTTTCTCTATAGGTTCAAATAGTTTATAGGGAATTAATTTTTATTCTGTTTTTTTTGATGTTTTATTTATTACATGATCTTTTATTTTTAGTTGTTTTTTATCGTTTTACTTTTAATTACAGTTGTGATTTAATTTGTTTTGTATTTTTTTCTATTGATTCTAAATAACATGCATAAACGTGCCATGCAATGTTTACATTTAGTTGATATTACCGCAATTAGATTTAAATGTAAAACAATAAATAAGTCGTTGTTTTTATTATAAATTGAACTTTGGTTTGTGACAGATGTCTCAAAACTATCGTTAAATATTAATTTTTGACAGATTTTATTTGCTACGATAAACCTTAACCCAAACACAACTCCAACTTTGCCATATATCATCAAAATGACATATTTTCAGGAGTGTCAGTTTCGAGGTGGTCCTTCAAAATTTGTCATTTCAAGTGCAAATTTTAAAAGTGAACAAAACCTCACATTTCTACTCATACCTTTCTACCTTCAACTTCATGCCATTACAACCATATTTTCTTTGTTTTTTTTTTGCTGCAATCTTTAAGATCTTTGGATCAATCATTTAGTTTGACATAAAAATGCTTCTTTTCCACAAAAAAAACCAAAAACATGATTGTTCTTTCGTGTTGCAATTTCGTTTTAAAAATAGTTTTTTTATTGTTTTTGTTTCCTTTTAATATGTTTTGCTTTATATAGTTAAATATTTTTGTGGCTTTTTGATTATTTGTAATGACCGTATTATTATAATTTCTTAATTTAATAAACACTGTAATCATGTTGCCTCTCATGCAAACACATGCTAAACGTTTTGGTTAGTGGAGAGCTCATTTGTAAGAAGGTGTTATTTATATTTATACGTTGTAAAGTATAGCAACACCGTTGCTAAACTTGACGAAATGCAACCACTAAAGTTGGTGCAAAATAAGAAATTGAAATAAGTTGTTGTTTCCATTCATTACACATACATACTTGACTTGGTTTGGTTGGTTGCATTGTATATACATATTTTAATGCTGCTGTGTGATGCTTGACTCAGAAGTATGCAATTGAAATTAGAGCGGTTTAAACTACAGACCGCGATTAAATTGAGTTTTTCGAAAGATTATAGTCCAGTCTGTGGTATAGGCTGTAGTCTAGTATATCCTAGACTATAGACAAGGCGACAGCCTAGACTACAGTCTACACTATATACTATTCTATAGACAAGACTATAGCATAGATGGGAGATTAGATTTGCAGTCTAGTCTATAGTCTAGTCTATAGTCTAGTCTATAGTCTAGTCTATAGTCTAGTCTATAGTCTAGTCTAGTCTATAGTCTAGTCTATAGTCTAGTCTATAGTCTAGTCTATAGTCTAGTCTATAGTCTAGTCTAAGTCTAGTCTATAGTCTAGTCTATAGTCTAGTCTATAGTCTAGTCTATAGTCTAGTCTATAGTCTAGTCTATAGTCTAGTCTATAGTCTAGTCTATAGTCTAGACTATAGTCTAGTCTATAGTCTAGACTATAGTCTAGTCTATAGTCTAGTCTATAGTCTAGTCTATAGTCTAGTCAATAGTCTAGTCTATAGTCTAGTCTATAGTCTAGTCTATAGTCTAGTCTATAGTCTAGTCTATAGTCTAGTCTATAGTCTAGTCTATAGTCTAGTCTATAGTCTAGTCTATAGTCTAGTCTATAGTCTAGTCTATAGTCTAGTCTAGTCTATAGTCTAGTCTATAGTGTAGTCTATAGTCTAGTCTATAGTCTAGTCTAGTCTATAGTCTAGTCTATAGTCTAGTCTATAGTCTAGTCTATAGTCTAGTCTATAGTCTAGTCTATAGTCTAGTCTATAGTCTAGTCTATAGTCTAGTCTATAGTCTAGTCTATAGTCTAGTCTATAGTCTAGTCTATAGTCTAGTCTATAGTCTAGTCTATAGTCTAGTCTATAGTCTAGTCTATAGTCTAGTCTATAGTCTAGTCTATAGTCTAGTCTATAGTCTAGTCTATAGTCTAGTCTATAGTCTAGTCTATAGTCTAGTCTATAGTCTAGTCTATAGTCTAGTCTATAGTCTAGTCTATAGTCTAGTCTATAGTCTAGTCTATAGTCTAGTCTATAGTCTAGTCTATAGTCTAGTCTATAGTCTAGTCTATAGTCTAGTCTATAGTCTAGTCTATAGTCTAGTCTATAGTCTAGTCTATAGTCTAGTCTATAGTCTAGTCTATAGTCTAGTCTATAGTCTAGTATATAGTCTAGTCTAGTCTATCTAGTCTACAGTCTAGTCTATAGTCTAGTCTATAGTCTAGTCTATAGTCTAGTCTATAGTCTAGTCTATAGTCTAGTCTATAGTCTAGTCTATAGTCTAGTCTATAGTCTAGTCTATAGTCTAGTCTATAGTCTAGTCTATAGTCTAGTCTATAGTCTAGTCTAGTCTATAGTCTAGTCTATAGTCTAGTCTATAGTCTAGTCTATAGTCTAGTCTATAGTCTAGTCTATAGTCTAGTCTATAGTCTAGTCTATAGTCTAGTCTAGTCTAGTCTAGTCTAGATCTAGTCTAGTCTAGTCTAGTCTAGTCTAGTCTAGTCTAGTCTAGTCTAGTCTAGTCTAGTCTAGTCTAGTCTAGTCTAGTCTATAGTCTAGTCTATAGTCTAGTCTAGTCTATAGTCTAGTCTATAGTCTAGTCTATAGTCTAGTCTATAGTCTAGTCTATAGTCTAGTCTATAGTCTAGTCTATAGTCTAGTCTATAGTCTAGTCTATAGTCTAGTCTACAGTCTAGTCTATAGTCTAGTCTATAGTCTAGTCTATAGTCTAGTCTAGTCTAGTCTATAGTCTAGTCTATAGTCTAGTCTATAGTCTAGTCTATAGTCTAGTCTAGTCTATAGTCTAGTCTATAGTCTAGTCTATAGTCTAGTCTATAGTCTAGTCTAGTCTAGTCTAGTCTATAGTCTAGTCTATAGTCTAGTCTATAGTCTAGTCTATAGTCTAGTCTATAGTCTAGTCTATAGTCTAGTCTATAGTCTAGTCTATAGTCTAGTCTATAGTCTAGTCTATAGTCTAGTCTATAGTCTAGTCTATAGTCTAGTCTATAGTCTAGTCTATAGTCTAGTCTATAGTCTAGTCTATAGTCTAGTCTATAGTAGTCTATAGTCTAGTCTATAGTCTAGTCTATAGTCTAGTCTATAGTCTAGTCTATAGTCTAGTCTATAGTCTAGTCTATAGTCTAGTCTATAGTCTAGTCTATAGTCTAGTCTATAGTCTAGTCTATAGTCTAGTCTATAGTCTAGTCTATAGTCTAGTCTATAGTCTAGTCTATAGTCTAGTCTATAGTCTAGTCTATAGTCTAGTCTATAGTCTAGTCTATAGTCTAGT